AAGTTTGCCAACATCTCATGGTTAGAGATATGTTTATGTATTGATGCATGTACCAGGTTTACTTGGTTATGCCCTGTGTAAAGTGCGACCTCTGATACCACGATTGTTAGTCTCACTTCCTTAGTATGCATTTGGTAATCCCAGGACCATCCACTTAGATGGTGGTCCTGCAGTTACTGCAAAGGAAACCCAAAACTGGGCAACCACATTTGGGTTACTTTTGGAATTCAATGCACCCAACCAACCCCAAAGTAGTGGGGTTGTGGTCCAGGAAAAATTCTGAGGTGAAATGACTATTAACCAAGTTACTAGACCCCACACAGTGGTATCTAATTATTCCTATGGTACAGATAAGTATTAACAACATACCTGATGATACAAATGGTGAGAAACCATTTGATATGTTACACAGTTTTCACTGACAATCATATTTCTGCACCAGGGAGAGCTTAGAACTATTGGTTCTATTAGAGAAATTTAAGGATTTGCTTTTCCAGCCCACCTCACCATGCACCACCACCTATTTCCTACTGTTGGCCAGTTTGTCCTGGAGAGGTTGACTCCAAGAACTTTTACTACAGAGAACAATCAGAGCCAACAGAGAACAGTACGTTTTTATATTGTACAACCTGCTAAATACTTCCAATATGTTCACAGAACCACTGACTGACACAATGGATGCGGTTAAAGAGGGCAAGATAAAACAAACAGAGGACAACATAAATGCCACCAGAACACAGCCACCAGAATCATAGTCACGTAACAGACTGAATCATGATCTGACATCTGAACCTGCAAAAGTGAAGGAGAAGGATGAATAGGCAGATGTGATACATTCACAGTTAACATGGAATATATGAAAAATGAATCATCAATATCATTATCAGAAAGACTCTAGAGAAAACAGACCGTACCTGAATTATCTTATACAGTAAAAAAGAAATGCAAAGATGCAAACAAAAGGATGCTAGAAAATAGGTTATGGTGTCTCCTTCTTACAATCTGCAGCATTATCATAACATCAACCCTAGCTGTCGTTTTAAAACTGCATTGGGATTATGTTAACAAGCAAGAAGCACCTGAACTGAATTGGACTGTGCATAATACAAGTTCTATAATCGTGAGGACTACCTCCAAGAATCATCTCAAAATGAGAGACACAGCTCACAGTGAACGGATTGCTAATGTGACCTGCACTGGTATTTCACAAGGAACCTATTGAAGATCATTCCAAAAACTGATTACACATGAGAAAGATGTGATTGGACTATTTCAAATCCTAATAATGGACTCAACAATGATGGCAAAGCATGCAGGAATCCGAAAAAAATGACGGGACAGATGCGTTCCACAAAGGGCTGGCGAAGGTCCTAATGTGGAGGGAAAACAGAATTGATGCGGACAGCTAATCGGAAGTCCAAATAAGGAAAAAGAATGAAAAAGTGATGACAGCTGATGAGAAGATCGAGGATTGGTGGGACGGACCCGGTAGGATAAGAGAGGGACATTTAAATAGAGACAATTGACAGGACATCTTGCAGCAATTTATTGTTTATATTACTTGATTTTATATGCTTTTTCTCCTGAGGAAGTCTACTTGTGGATAGACAAAACACGTAGAGCTTATTTTATTTTATTTTATTAGTTATTGTTCTATTAAGTTTTATTGCCTGATATTACTGTGCTTCAACTCTACCGATACAACCTGGGAAGGAGGAACACAGAGGTTGATTGATGGGCTTTTTAACTCCCGATTTTTTTGTAAGTGTTTATGAATAAACTGTGTGATTTGCAGTCTGCAGCAGTTCTGTACTATGTCTATTTATATGTCATTACATGGTTTCATGAATACTGGGATCTGAGATGACAATCACGCTCAGAAGATTTAAAGACATGCCTACGTGCCTGAATTTCTCATGGAGCTTGTGAGTGTATTTCGAAACTCCACTATCGCCTGCTGCTGCTAGCACAGTCTCTCCAGCATGTGCAAGGTGGAGTTCCACCTTGTGGGCACATCGCATATGAGGAGGTGAACGGGAAGGCCAAAGTTACGCTGCAGTGCAGACAGGCGAGCAGCAGCAGGGTGAGAATGCCGAAAGCATGCACAGCCGCTACAGTGAATGTCACATCCTGTTCCAAGTTTCCGATCAGTCTGATGATGGCTTCTGGTATCCAGTACTCTTTTTACTGAAGCTGCATCAGGGTCCTGGTATGTGGCCGCACAAACGCTGGTGCTCAACACCAGGGGGCGTGCGGTTACCCTGCACCAGACCCTGCTAATCCATTCCACACTGTGACTCCTAACTTCAAACATCAGGCATACTGGGTCCCAGTCATCCGACCGCTGCCCAGACAGTGTCTGGGTCCCTGTCACCGGACTGCGAAAGGCTCATTAAATCTGTTATGGTTCCTTTTATCGCTCCATCTGTCACTTGGATAACTGTGGGAATTCTAAAGATAATACATGCCGATGAGCCCTAGGGGGCGGACGCTCCGCTTTTGCACCCTGCTCCCTCTTATGCTGTGCTGGTGCCTCTGTGCTACCAGCGCCTCTTCCTCCAAACTGCACACGTCACTCGCATGACCTTGATTCCATGTGGGGTCTAGGACCTCATCATCCTCCACATCATCTTCCACCCACTCCTCAACCCTGCCCTCCTTGCCGGTCTGCGCACTGCAGAAAGCCACAGCAGTTGACACCTGTGTTTTTCCAGCATGTAAACTCTGCAAAGGACATATGGAAATTGTATTAGAGTTGTATCCAGGCAACAGTTTTCCCTTTAAACCGACCTCTCAGTTTGACTTGTGAGGGTATTATAATATTGTAATATTGGTATTTGACGGTTCTATTTGACTGTCAGATTTGAAGTGCAGACCGCAAATGTACTATTCAGCACCCAAAAAAATTAGAATTGGTCAAACTGTGCTGTAACCACAGTATTTGACGCTTCTATTTGAAAGTCATATATGAAGTGCACACCTCAAATTTACTTTTTATCACCCAAAACAATTTGAATTTTTCAAAGTGCGCTGAAAGCACAGTATTTGATGGTTCTATTTGACTCTCAGATATGAAGTGCACCGCAGGCCGCAAATGTACTATTTAGCAGCCAAAAAATTGGAATGTTTAAAAATGCTATGTCACAGCACTATTTGACGCTTCTATTTGACTCTCAGGTATGAAGAGAAGGGCTCAAATTTACTATTTAGCAGATTAGCACCCAGAAAATGAGAATGTTTCAAACTGCGCTTACAGCGCAGTATTTGACACTTCTATTTGACTCTCAGATATGAAGAGCAGGGCCCAAATTTACTAGTTAGCAGATTAGCACCCAGAAAATAAGAATGTTTCAAACTGCGCTGTAAGCGCAGTATTTGATGCTTCTATTTGACTCTCAGAAATGAAGAGCATGCACCAAATTTACTATTTAGCAGTTTAGCACCAAAACAATTAGAATTTTTACAACTGCGCTGTAACCGCAGTATTTGATGCTTCTATTTGACTCTCAGATATGAAGGGCACCCCACTAATGTACTATTTAGCAGATTAGCACCCAGAAAATAAGAATGTTTACAATTGCGCTGTAACCACACTATTTGACGCTTCTATTTGACTCTTAGATATGAAGTGCACCCCACTAATGTACTATTTAGCAGATTAGCACACAGAAAATAAGAATGTTTCAAACTGCGATGTAACCACAGTATTTGACGCTTCTATTTGACTCTCAGATATGAAGGGCACACCCCAAATTTACTATTTAGCAGATTAGCACCACAACAATTAGAATTTTTACAACTGCGCTGTAACTGCAGTATTTGATGCTTCTATTTGACTTTCAGATATGAAGTGCACTCCACTAATGTACTTTTTAGCACCCAAAAAATGTAAAACTGCAATGTGACAGCAATATTTGACACTTCTATTTGACTCTCAGATATGAAGTGCACCCCACTAATGTACTTTTTAGCACCCCAAAAATGTAAAACTGCAATGTGACAGCAGTATTTGACGCTTCTATTTGACTCTCAGATATGAAGTGCACCCCACTAATGTACTATTTAGCACCAAACAAAATTGCCTTTTTAAAACTCCGATGTAACCGCAGTATTTGATGCTTCTATTACACTCTCAGATATGAAGTGCACCCCACTAATGTACTAGTTTGCAGAATTCTTTCCTAATCTGTCCCTGAAAGCGGCAGCATCCACTCCCTACATTAATAAGAGCTCATGTGCGTGCGGTGCTACGTGACTCCAACTTATATCTAGAGGCTGGGTCACATGCTGCACTGGCCAATCACAGCCATGCCATTAGTAGGCATGGCTATGATGGCTTCTAAGGGCACACGAGTCAAATGCTTGTAGATTGGCTGCCCTGCAGCCTTTCAAAACGCGCCATTTAATTGCCGAACACCGAACTCCAACCAGAACATACAGTGATATGTCCGTGTTCGGGTCCAGGGTCCAAAAAAACGTAATGTTCAGTACGAACCTGAACTTTACAGTCCGGGTTCGCCCAACTCTACTTATTTTATATTGTATTCTCAATTATTTATATATCTTACTAATTATATACAATTATGGATATCTGCATGATTATCCCTGCTAAGTTCTATGCTTTAAGAAGTTATAGTGGTAAATAGAGGAACCAGCCGTGGTTACACGTGCACTTAGAACCACCCATTGGGTATTATTGATGAGCAGGTGCCTGGTAAGGGGCCACTGCCCTTTATGAGCATCACTGGACCCAGTGGTGTATCCTGGTTTTGTGCTGCCCTAGGCAGGACAAAACTCAGGCGCCCCCCTCCCCCCCGTGCCACCCCCACCCAACCCTTCCCCCCGCCCCACCTTCTAAATACACACACACACAGTCAGACACATACACAAACACACACACACACACAGTCAGACACATACACAAACACACACACACACAGTCAGACACATACACAGACACAGTCAGACACAAACACACACACACACAGTCAGACACAAGCACACACACAGTCAGACACACACAGTCAGACACAAACACAAACACACACAGACACACACAGTCACATACACACACACAGTCAGACACAAACACACACACAGTCAGACACAAACACACACACACACAGTCAGACACATACACAAACACAGACACAAACAAACACACACATTAACTTTTTTTTAAATTTAAATCCCCCCCCAACCTCCTTACCTTTGGGAGTGCTGGGGGGGGGGGTCTCTCTCCCTGGTGGTCCAGTGGCTGCAGGGCGAGCGGCGCTGGCAGGCGGGCGGGCGGGCGGCGAGGGAGCACTTCCCATGAGCTGACTGCTCAGCTCCCTCGCGCGTCGGCTGCAGAGTGAGGCTGGGAGCCGGAAGATGACGTCATCTTCCGGTTCCCAGCCTCACTCTGCGGTGCGCGAGGGAGCTGAGCAGTCAGCTCATGGGAAGTGCTCCCTCACCGGCCGCCCGGGATGTCAGTTAGCCGCGAGGCTAACAAGGCATCTGCCCTGGGCATTTGGGGGGCGGCGTTTTTTGCCGCCCCCTGAAAAATGCCGCCCAAGGCAAATGCCTTGTTTGCCTCGCGGCTAATACGTCCCTGACTGGACCCCTGTAGTGTTTGCCAGCTAGAAGGCAGTTAGAGCCAGTCACTTCCTCACAGCTTCATACAGAGAACACCACACTGGAGGGAGGAGGAGTTGGCACTATCAGCATGGAGGGTGTATAAGTCAGTGGAGTATGCATCTATATGACATATTGTGTATATGTCAGTGTGTGTAGTGTGTGTATCTGTGTGTCATGGTTTGTGCATCTGTGTATTTGTGTGTATATGTCAGTGTGCGCATGTGTCAAGCTGTGCATCTGTGTATCAGGGTGTGTATATGTCAGTGTGTGCATCTGTGTGACAGGTTGTATGTGGGTCAGTGTGCACATGTGTCAAGTTGTGTGCATATGTTAGTGTATGTGTCTGTGTATATGAATTTGTGTTTATGTGTCAGTTTATTTATATATGTATATCTGTTTAAGTATGTATTTATATGACAGTGTATGTTTGTATGTGCATACATCCAAGCAATAAAACACCTACACAACAATCAAATACACTCCTGCAATCTAAAGCAAATATTACATGCAAACTCCAAAATTAAATACAAACACACCCCTTCACTCAAACACCAATACTGCATGTATTGTACATCCACATTTAAAAGCCAAGATAACATCCAAACACATTGTTGCAATCAAATGCAAACATTACATACATGGACACCCCTGTACTAAAACACAAAAATGATATACAAACATCCCTTCATTCAAACACTACACACAAAAGCACACCTGCATTTAAATGCCAGTAATACAAAAGATCCATGCTAATTTTCATTTTACTCAGAATAACTGTGGTGCACTAGATCCTACTAATATTATATATTTTATTGGTTTGCATTATGATCAAATTGTTATTCTAATTGTTAATACAAAACTACTGACCAGTGGTAGTGCTTCATTTTTCAAAAAGCCATTAAAACAAGATGGTGAACACGATTGAACATGTAACATGCGACAAAAGACAAAAACATGTAATTTTCTCATTTTAATCAGCAGTGAGTTGCATATACAAAAACAAAACAAAATTAAAGAGCTTTATTCTTTCAGTGTTGAACACATCAATAAAGTCACACTTTTGTGTCTGAGAGGTTGCTGCTTGTTGCTATGGCTATAAAAGATATGCCACAAAGTGTTATGACTCCATTGTGTGTGTATACACACACTCATTACACACATTGTTATAAATGTAAGGATGTTCTGTCAGAGCAAGCACTGGTGATGGAAGTATCTGTACATGGATATTGCTGCATCATTAGTTACCCTCATCTAGAATTGAGTGAACCCGGGCTGTAAAGTTCCGGTTTGTACCGAACATTTAGTTTTTTGGAAACAAGAACAATAAAGTATACACACTATAATTATATAAAGATCATATATAAGGGAGAGATACCAGGTGTACCTCACTGACACCTAAATTACATATAATAGAAAAGACAAAGTGGAAACACCTCCCAAATACGTGATAATATAAGCATAAATACAAATAACCTGAGATATAGGTAGTAATTCGCAAACAGAATCTGTATGAAAAATTAAAAAACTAACATAGCGTAATACAGTACTAAGTAAGTGAGTGGTATGTTAGTGAAAATAAGTGCACTCACAAACAAAATATGAAATCAGGCTTCTCACCCTCCAAAGGGTAGCAATCTTAGTGAGTAGTCCTCCTCCGTAGGATATATAAAAGAATAGGAAACAAATATAGTGAAGCATGTAATTGTATTACAAAATCGTATTTATTGGTCTCAATTACAAGTGAAGAAAATTAGCAGGCATATCTCCAAATAACATGGGACTCCCAGAACGATGTAAAAAAAGTCCAATAGAAGATCCAATGGAACAGGCAGGATACAGTTGAAATAAAATTAAAATAAAATAAATATAAAAACTACTTACAGAATATGTATTAAATTAAGTTTTTTGGACCCAGGACCCGAACACGGACATATCACTGTATGTTCGGGTTGGAGTTCGGTATTCGGCGATTTAATGGCGCGTTTTGAAAGGCTGCAGGGCAGCCAATCAACAAGCGTTTGACTTGTGTGCCCTTAGAAGCCATCACAGCCATGCCTACTAATGGCATGGCTGTGATTGGCCAGTGCAGCATGTGACCCAGCCTCTATATATAAGCTAGAGTCGCGTAGCGCCGCACGCACATGCGGTCTTATTAGTGTAGGGAGAGGATGCTGCCGCTGATAGGGACAGCTTAGGAAAGAATTCTGCAAACTAGTACATTAGTGGGGTGGGGTAGTTTTAAAAAGTAAATTTTTGGGGGGTTCTAAATAGTACATTAGTGGGGTGCACTTCATATCTGAGAGTCAAATCAAAGCATCTAATAGTGTGCTTACAGCGCAGTTGTAAAAATTCAAATTTTCTGGGTGTTAATCTGCTAAATAGTAAATTTTGTGGCCTGCTCTTCATATCTCAGAGTCAAATAGAAGAGTCTAATAGTGTGCTTACTGCGCAGTTGTAAACATTCTAATTGTTTTGCTGCTAATCTGTTAAACAGTCCATTTTGGGGCTTGCACTTCATATCTGAGAGTCAAATAGAAGCATCAAATAGTGTGTATAATGCGCAGTTGTAAACATTCTAATTGTTTTGCTGCTAATCTACTGCTTACATTGTAGTTTTAAAAAGTCTTTTTTTTGGTGCTAAATAGTATATTTGGGGTGTTCACTTCATATCTGAGAGTCAAATTGAAGCGTTACTTTGATTCGAATTTACTACATCGGTCACTTGTAATATTGTTTCACACCTACAACACTTGTTACACAGATCTAAGAGATAGAAAACAGATTTACTTCAACAATATTGTAATTCTGGAGCAGTCAAACTGAGAGGTCAGTTTATAGGGAAAACTGTTGCCTGGATACAATTCTAAAACAATTTCCATATGTCCTTTGCAGAGTTTACATGCTGGAAAAACACAGGTGTCAACTGCTGTTGCTTTTTGCAGTGTGCAGTCCGGCAAGGAGGGCAGGGTTGAGGGTTGGGTGGAAGATGATGTTGAGGATGATGAGGTCCTAGACCCCACATGGAATCAAGGTCATGCGAGTGACGTGTGCAGTTTGGAGGAAGAGGCGCTGGTAGCACAGAGGCACCAGAACAGCATAAGAGGGAGCAGGGTGCAAAAGCGGAGCGGCCGTCCCCTAGCGCTCGTTGGCATGTATTAGCTCGAGAATTGTCAGTTATCCAAGTAATACATGTAGCGATCATAGGATCCCTAATAGAGTTGAGTGAACCCAAACTGCAAAGTTCAGGTTGGCACCAGATATAACGATACATTCGTAGTTTCACAGTCAGATGGGCAGTCCGGTGACCAGGACACTGTCTGGGCGGC